CAAACATGGATCCAAAAAATGAAAAACTGTAGAAAAGCAAAATTTTGTCCTCGGTGGGATCCGAACCATCGACCTATTTTTTTTATTCGTAGAAGCGCGCAGCGAAAATGAACCTCAGTTTTCTGGTCCTCGTATGTGCCCCTACAATATGCACAAGACCATTTTGAAAAAGCTCACCACGCCCTGAACGACCTCCCTTGTTAGAGAAGTATAGGTATCGATCTAGCGTTTTGAGCGCATGCCAGTGTTTTCAACGATTAGGAATGGTTGTTTCAGATAGAGTGGAGGAATAGGAGGTTGGCAGACTATGCTAGGTCGACACCTATACTTTCACAGTCGCTCGAAAAAAGCGCTGGCGTAAGCTCAAAACTCTGGATCAATACCTGTAGTATGCCAGTCGCTCAAAAAGTTAACACTAAGAATGAGGGCACCTTCAGTTTTTCTCTTTCGACTTTCGACAGGGCTCACAGCTGGTTGCCCTTGACCTTGACTTCTCGAATCCGTGCCCGATTTTAACGTACATTCTCCCATGCGGGCATATTGGGCCAGAGTTTTGTCTTCGTGGGTGGTTTGACTTGCAGAAATCGAATATCACGTTCTCATGGGCGAGACGAGTGACGTCTATGTGTTGGCGCTGGCGATATAAGCCATTTGCCGCCGGCGAGTCTCTTTGAGTGCTTTCCCTGGATGGGGATGAAATTGTAGCGAACTCTGTTATGTAGGTTACCTTTACCTACAGCGTGTTTTTCATAAGTGCCCATTTTAGCTCGAAAACGACACCATTGCTGACCATGTGGTGCTATATCAACATCAGCGTCGTTTGATCAGAGAGCGATTACGCGCTAAAGATGAACAGCTGGCAGCAATGGAAGCAGACAGAAGGCGCACATTGGAGAGGTAGCTGTTATGTTTAGCCTTTTCCCATTTCTGTATCACTTACTGCAAATTTCTTCCTCATCCACAGATGTAAAGAACTGCAAAAGGCTCTTATGGACGTGCTTGCGCGAACTGGGGCGTTGAAGGTGGGTTTTAAGGCTACTTATAAATTTCTGTTAGCTTCTTCATTCTTCTTTTATCAGCACTG